GTGTTCAAACAGACTGTGAAGAACCATTTTTATCCCCACACGATTTTGCAAAGGTGTGCTTCAAATAACTATTCTATCTGAACAATTTCCAATCTTTTGGCTCATACGAGGAAGGCTTGCGACTTATAAGGCAATCAAGTGATGATTGGACTGGTTAAACTACATTGGACAGCTTCATAAAACTAGAAATAAAAATGAAACAAAAAACGTTGTATTTTTAGGAAAATGTCATCGATGGTGTTACCAGTCAAACAGCAATCACAATATAACATTGCAAACGATGTGGAGTGGGGATATGTTAGAAAATGACTAATGTCACAGCACCGTTATTTTATTTGCAAATTCACATTAAAAATGCGTATTTTTTAGAAACACCAAACCGTAACGTTTTAACATAAAATTGTTAGTTGGGAACGCCTGAGTGTGCGATCAGTTTTCCGAATCCTTGATTGCTGAGTGCACATTGCATAACCCCAGTTTGCCGAATGCCGTTTTATCGATCCAAAATTATGAAAATCAGCCGCTGTCAAGTTATTTTCAAATAAGTGGGTGTGATGACCCATGTTAAATCTTTTCACCCTTCCCTTATAAAAATCAAAATGATAATTGAGGATGGAAAAAATAACATATGTTTATTTCTTTAAATATAGTAAGCTTATGCCTAATGCACCTCGACAAGATTATTCACTTTCATGAGTGATCATTATTCTGGACCCAAATTCTAGACTAGGAAATAACCTGAATGTTGTCCGAAGACAGTTTTTACTTCTAGGAGTTACTGCTGCTCTCTATGCTACTGTATTCTTCGAATATTTTAATCTGTTTTCTTAAATATCTACTGTTTGTTAAGCACATGACACTGCCCTCTATTATACTTCAAAAGGTGTTAATGAAATCAATTTTGACCTTGGAAATGTAAAAAGTGGCTATTTAGAAACAGATTAAGTTAGATATAGAAGACTGAATTAATGTTTATTGATACACATAAAAAAGTATCTAGGTTATCATACCTCGACTTAAATTATTGATGCTGCCCCCGTCTTCAAAGAGTTCCTTATTGTTAACATTTTGGTGTAATAATAGATGAAACTCTATCATGGAATAAACATGTAGGTTATATTAAGACCAAAGTTCTTCCAGGCTTGGTCTACCTTAGAAATCAAGCTACTTCCTCCCAAAACTTCGTAAACAATGTTGTACAAAGCTGTAGTAGCCCCTTATTTTGATTACTGCAATGTTGTGTGAAGTAGATGTAACAAAACATTAAGCAATAAATTACAGGTATTACAGAACAGAGCAGCTAAAGTAATAAATAAGAAATAAACTAAAATGTGAGTCTGGTACACAAGCACTTGAACTTAAATGGTCCAATCTTGAACATAAACTTACCTTCAATGAGAAATAGTATGTAGGCCTACAAAATAATGAATGACTTAAACTCCAATTTTTTTGAGAAATCAATTTTCAAAGGCAATCAGCATAATAATACTAGATCTACAAATAACCTGTACATAGATAAACCTAATACGATTATAAGAGTTATCGTGTTGCTGACTTGTGGAATAATATTGATTAGACCACAAAAAAATAGTACAGTACTGTACTACTCTTAAAATTTTTAAAAAGATAATTTTAACATAATTTTTAAGCACAGTTTATTTAGAAGCATATTTTGGTTTATTTATTTATTATTATTATTATTATTATTATTATTATTATTATTATTATTATTATTATTATTATTATTATTATTATTATTATTGTTATTATTATTATTATTATTATTATTATTATTATTATTATTATTATTATTATTTATTATTATTATTATTATTATTATTATTATTATTATTATTATTATTATTATTATTATTATTATTATTATTATTATTTAAACTGAATGGTAATGCCAGGTCAGCCTCTATCCTGAAGCCAAGGAGGACACGCTTTTGTGTTGGAACTGTTTATTTCTAAATAAAAAATCTTTGTGTACATTTACTTACTTACTTACATACACACTTTGTGTGGGCATATGTATAATTTCATAGTGTACTATGATATTCAGTACGATAAAATAAACAGATTGATGAAAAACATTGGAATTTGGAAAACCCATAACTCTTGGGAATTTTGGTACTATGGTAGGCTTACGTTTATCGTTATTGTCTCCTTATTTGGATACATGAATAGGGGGAGGGGCTCCTATTAAGTGAAAATTGGCCCCGAAGGTATAGTCACGGCTTAAAATCAGGCTCCGGAGGAAAAAGTGTTTTCATATGTTGTACAAAAGACACAACAAGCATATTTGACGAAAAACCTAATTTAAAAACTAGGGGAACTTACTTTTTTCCACATTTTCCCTTAGT